CCTCTGGTGCAAATTACTGACCTCTGTCATCATTTTAAGTGGGGGAACTTGCACAATCGGTGGCTGACTAAATACTTTTTTGCCCCACTGTATGTGTTTAATACTTTAGTGCTTTTGAAGTGCAACTTTTCATGTGCTAGCCAATCGAGTGATGTTGTACAATAAATTATTTCAGGAGAGTTGGAAAGTTCAGCATCAAAATAAAGATGAGTTTTTCTTTTTAGTGATGTACATGAACAAGCTAGTAACATGCACTAGCTTGAACCTTACTTGCGATAGCTTGTTTCATGTCACTCGACTTAATTGTAAGTAAGTAATTGGTTGACCCAATATTCTCAAAGACAGTGAACGGTTATTAAATTTCTACTGACAGAAGCATTAACATATTGCACTGTCCGGTGGAGATAAACAAATTCTAAGTGTATTTGGAGAGTCAAGTGTTCTTGAAATCAGCTAACAGATCAGAGAAGAAACTCTCTGAGATCCACTCCTTACAGTTTGTGGATCACAATATGATAGCTAAAATTAGTTATCATAAAATTAGTTCATAGCCAGAGCTTATGCCTGTATTTATACTATATTGCCAAAAGTATTCACTTCAAATGCATATGAACTTGATTGGCATCCTTAACCCATAGGGTTTAATATAATGTCAGCAAGACCTTTGCAGGTATAATTGCTTTAACTCTTCTAAGAAGGCCAGTCTGCACTCTAATTCATCCCAAACATGTTCTTTAAGGTTAAGGTCAGAAATTTGTGCAGGCCAGTCAATGTCTTCCATACCAAACTTGCTCATTCATGTCTTTATGGACCTTACTTTGTGCACTGGCGTGCACTATGGGTACAGAATGGGGCCATTCCCAAACTGTTCCCACAATGTTGGAAGAATGAAATTCTCCAAAATGTCTTGGCATGCTTAAGCTTACTGGAACTAAGGCTCTGAGCCCATAATCCCCCTCCACCAAACTTTAAACTTGGCACATTGTAGTCAGACAAGTACTGTTTACCTGGCAACCACCAAACCCAGACTTATCCATCGGACTGCCAGATAGATACGCGTGATTCATCTATATTGCTTGAGAGTCCAATAGCAGAGTACTTTACAACACTGCATCTTAGATGCATTTGGTCAGCCATGAAAAACAATTCCATGAAGCTCTCTTAGCTGTGTTTTTGAGCTATTTTGAAGGTCACATGAAGTTTGGAGGTCTGCAGTGATTGACTGCAGAAAGTTGGCGACCTGCACTATGCGCTTCAGCATTCCTTAACCCTGCTCTTGGAGTTTGTGTAGTCTATACTCTGTGGCTGATTTGACTACATTCCCAAACGCTTTCACTTAGTGAGAAATTTTCACAATTGGACTTGCTCATCAGGTGGCATTCAATCACCACACATTGGAATTATAATCACAATACCTAGGATTCACAGAGCTCCTTAGAGCAACCTATTCTTTCACAAATATTTGTAGTAGTAGTACGCATGCCTGGGTGCTGGACTTTATACACCTGTGGCCATTAGTGATGGGTCGGTCGCGAACGAAATGGCTCTTAGAGCC